AGCTATGAGGGATTGCTGTCAAGGTGCTTCTGGTTCCTCCTTGTCAGAAAGAGAGGTGCAGAGCACGAGAGGAGAGAGGGTGAGGTGAGAGAGAGAGGTAGAGGGGGTGAGTGAGACAAGAGATAGAGAGAGCGACGATGACAATGATGACACCGTAGAGGTAGCCATCGCCGTCGATTTGGTGAGGACAACAGGAGCAGTGAGATCGAGAGAGAGGCGGCGAGTATGAGTTAGGGTTGAAAGAGAGAGACGAATGAGAGTGAACGAGTTAAGTTAGGTTACTTTGTGAGGGTAATGATCCAGTGCAAGCAGACTCCACATAAACTCTTCTTTAAGCCAATCAGACAATGACACATGGAAAATGCATATATAATTAAATATTATGCGGTTCGGTTCAGGTCCATTGGTTTAAAATTTTTTAGACCCGAAGCCTGAACCGAAGTCAACGATTCGGGTCAGGTCCAGCGTTGACTTTTTCGGTTTGGTAAAAAAAACCTCCTTTTTCGGTTTGGTTTGGTTTGGTTTGGTTCGGTCGGTTCATTCGGTTTATCGGTTTTTATGCCCACCCCTAGTTGACATACCTTATATGTATTTGTATTTTTCATGTTTTCTATTAAAGTTGTTGTAATTCATGTATTTTATTTTAGTAGTAATAATTCTTAATGACTTGTATTGGATTTCTTTATTTAATAAACAAAGCATTCAATAAAATATCTTTTTATTTAACATATTCCATACATCAAACAAAACATAATTAAAATAATAATAATAACTACAAACAAGGCACAATAATAATAACAAACTACAACCAAACCATAATAAATAAAAAACAACACAACCAAACCATAACTAAATAAAACATAATCAAAGCATCTATATTTCATCATTCATTTTCATTGCCTTTCACTGCCCATAGATGCTCCATCAAGTCAACTTGACGCCTTTCATGAATATATCAAGATTGCATATCTGTATATCGATCTATCATCTAGGTCATGAAACGACCATCCCTCACCAACGGTTCCGGCTCAAACGGTTCTCTATTTGGCCCCATGGGCCTTTCATAAATCCGTGTCAAGGCCGTGTTCGAAATTTGAACCCAAATTTATATGAAATTTGAATTTTGAAATTCATCCGAAATTTGAACCCAAAAATCTTATCCGGAAATTTTATCTGATTATGAATAGTCTTGACACGTAGGAACCCGGAAATCTTATCTGAAAATATTATCCAAATTAATTATTGAGGTAAAAAAATTTGTGAAAAAAACAAAAAAATGAATAGTAACTGCCCTTAGCCATGACAACGGGTGGAAACACAAAATACTATTTGCAATGGCAACCACTATTCACGTGAATAGTGCATGCCCTAGCTCCCCCCTTGCCATGGCTAAGGGCAAATGGGTGGAGTTACTCTTAGGGTTACGAATGTGAGCATTGCAAGAGAGAGGGAAAATAAACAAATGAAATGAATGAGAGTAAGTGGGAAATTGAGAAATTAAATAAAGAAATGACAGAGGGATAGATAAGTGGGAGATGGAACGTTTTGTTTTTTTTACTTTTAATTTTATTTATTTAGCTTTTTACTTTTGTTTTTTAATTTCTAATAAACAAAAGGATTTTAATTTTAATATATCATATATATAAAATACAGAGAATGAGAATGTGTGCAAGGAAGCTTAAGTCGGACTTTGGAATTCTTTTTATTTAATTTTTTTCATTATTGCGCTAATTTTGACATACATGGATTTAGAATCTCTTCATCCAAATGAAGTGTGAGAATCCTTATTCTTAAAAATGTTAATATTTTATTTTGGTAAGTATTAAAAATTATAATTATTTTATGAAAGTATATGTTTTATTTAATGCAAATTCAATAATTTTGATGATATTCTTAAAACATGCTTTTAATATTTAATTCTATTCAATGGTAGTAGGATTTTTGTCCTTAGCTATCTAGAGTTTCATGCATGGTTATGTAATTGAGTTAATACACTCCACGTAGTTAGCATGTGTCAATCAAATATGCATTATTATTATTCTATTATATATATATATATATATGTACATATAAAATATTACGTGCTATACTTTTATAAATATTATCACTAATAAATATATACTTTAGTAATTATATACGTTTTATTTTGGAATCTATGATATTAATGATAAATAAGTGTTTTATTATTATTTATTTGATATGTACATAATTCATTTGATATATGCATGCTTATCTTCCTCCAAAATTATTGTGTGGTGTTAAAGTTTTCTATTAGTTATCATGTTTTGCTGTCAAAACATGTGGTGCCTTCATATTAAGTTAAGTGTGAGTAAGCAAGAAAATTGCTATAGCTTTTCAAATTGGTTACGCCATGTAAGCAAGAGGTGGAACTTTAAGTTTTCCTCTTATTGACACATCTTCTAGCATGCAATTATTTAATAAAGTTTTTGATAGACTTTTCAGCTTTGGCTGGAACAAAAAGGTTATTGTTATCCTTTAGTAAACTGCCAATTACTTCATCCAATAGAAGTAAAGGTGTAGCCGACATTCCTTTAGTATAAATAGGAATGCAATTCTTTCATTTTTAACGCACGGCATGCATGGTTTGAATGAGAAAACCATAAGAGTTAAGAAAGAGAAATACTAGTGAGAGAGAGAATTTGAGTGTGGATACGGTGGAAATTAGGGAGTCGTCTTACAATTCTAGCAAAAG